AAAAAACAAAAACATAAGAAATGTAGTTGAGGCCCTTGAGGAGACAATGACATTTTCCCAACCCAAAGTTTGGTGAATAAACATTTTCCACCCATAAACTTTGGTAAAAACATTTTCCGACCCATTGTTAAAATTCAGACATTAGTTTTAATGGCAAAAGGGCATGCTCATAGTTTGCACAATAAATATTATACGGTTATTATTCTTACACCCCTAAATTACAAACACATAACAATTACCTTCATCAACTTGGGAATTGGCCATTTAAACCCCCTATCTTCAATTTTTATATGTTTCTAAAAAAATTTAAAATTGTATATATTATTCTTAAAAGTTATAATAATATCTGTCAATTAAATATTTATAAAGCTACAAAAACAATATTTTATTAAAATTGTATATGTTTTATGAAATTATATTTATAATTTCAGAAAAAAAACTGAAGAATTATAAAAAAGAAGAAAAAATTTGAAAAAAAAATTAATCGCACCTGACTGGGTGTAAATCTGCTGGAATCGCACCTGGCTTTGTGCGATTTGACCTAAAGCGATTCGGCCCACCTGATGACCACTGAATTTTTTATTTTTATTTTTTTTCAAATTTTTCAAATTTTTTTGTATTTTTTAATTTTAATAATTGACTTTATTTTCATTTTTTTTTAATTTATTAACCTTAAAATTAAAATAAACTAAACTATGAGTGAAAAATACATTTAATAAAGTTCTAGTGGGAAATTGTAATTCAACCCCATTAAAATTTATAAAGTCAAATAGTAAAGGGTATTATAGTCTTTTCATAACTTTAGCCCTGTCAGGTAATAGATTCCATTGACAGAGATTAACTATGGGTGGGAAGATGTTTCTTCCAAAGTTTGTGAGTGGGAAAACATCCTTCTGATTGGTTATGAGGAAAATATTCTAGTATCCAACATCAAAATTTCAAAAAAAAAAAAAAGAAAAAAAGAAGAAACTTAGTGTTCAAAACATACCTTGATGATATTGTTCAAAAAGAAAGAAAGAAACCTGATTGTAAATATTTTGATTTAGTTTTTATAATGAATTGAAAGAAAGAATTGTATTGAACATAAATAATATAAAACATACCTTCTGAAATTGTTGAACCAATTGGATGATAAATAAATATTGAGCAAGGTGTGTGGTGGTGGTGGTGGTGGTGAAGAAAGATGAGATGTAACTTATATAGACCCAAACCCTAATAGGTTTTAGTTTAGAGTCAATTTCAGTTAAAAAGTCTACTTCTTAAAGAAGTCCATGTATTAAGGACTCTTTTTAGGAAGGTATGACTTATTTGTTATGTAACTGATTTTTCCATTCAATAATTATTGCTTAATTTGAAATTTTTGTATACAAATTGATGTGAATGATCAAATGAGACATAAATTATTTATCTCGATTGGCAAATTCATATTATTTTGACGGTTCTTGATATATATATCAAAGTTTAGTCACAAATTCGTGGTCCTTTCATATTATTTCTCTTCCTAATTGGGACTTGATTTCTTATTTCATATTATTTTCCTTTTGAGATTTTACATGTTTTCCCTTTTTGGGACTAGGAAAGATTTTATTTTAGGAAGATTAATTATTTTTTTGATAGCTATTTTCTTATTCTATTAGAAATTACCTATTGTTAAGGATTGTTATCCTATAAATATCCATGTAATTGCTAAGTTTTATTCATTAAAATTTTTAATAAAATCTCTTATTACTTTCTTTGAGAATTTATCTGTGTCATACTTTTAGTATTAGATATTAAGATATGTTACCCTAAGTTATGTGTTTCCCACTTTCCCTTTGAGAATTGTGGAGAATAATAAGGTGGTTTTATCCAAGGTATAGTTTATTAAAGGGAGAGATAAATATGCAAGGCAATGAAGATAGAAGAAAACGATATGATAGTCAAACATTTACCTGTCAAAAGGCCATGCATTTAACTCTAAAATGTAGTATATATTTTGTATAAAACAATACTTATTGGTGTGCCAAAAATACACACTAATGTCAACACCACCAATCAGAGTTCAATAAGCACTTAAATATAAGATGGTATTAGTTGTCAAATACTCAAACCGCCTTCAAGAGATATTTTATATCAATCCTATCCTATTTTAAGATAAGGATTAAGGAGTGGTTCCCACGTGTCAAGACAACTTGCAAAAACACTCATTATATTTACCTCAAATGTATAAATTGACATCTTTCTTCATGAAAAAAAGAGGTTGGGCATATGAGAGCTGGGCATAGATTTGAACTTTATTATTTTTCTCTGTAACCAAAGTATTTCTCCATCTTTATACGTCTTACAGACAATATCATAAAAATAGTTAGAGAATAATAAGATAAAAGTGGATGTAGGATTCGCTTTAAGCATCCGAACCACTATAAAAATCCCTCTTGTCCATCTTTTAAATATGTTTCATTAAACATATATCATCTCAGCACCATAAACACTTCTCATGAATCATTCACGTGTAATTTCTAGGACAGATTAGTACTTTACACGTGTGAGTCGTTGGTGTCAAAATCACGCATTAACAGTTTGGCGTTAGAAGGAGGGCATGATTCACACCAGCCCTCCATGTTTTTCTAGCAAGCCTCAAAATCTTCACGTTATCAGATGTGAAAATCGGAAGCTTGTTCCTCATAAGAGCTCTCAAATTGCGTGGTCAGATCGCGGATCGCACGCATCAGAGCTCTTATATCACAGATTGCACGCATAAGAGCTCTCAGATCGTGCTTTCGAGCACTCAGTTCGCCGCTCAAGATCGTTGAGATCACGCATTCAGAACATTTAGATTGCGCTTCCGAGCGGCCAGATCATACTTGTGAGAGCCCAAATTGCGCTTCCGAGCGCTTAGATTGCTGATCTCGAGTTCTCAAATCAACCTTCATGCTTTCTGATCGAACTCCTTGTGTTCTCAGATCGCAAAGAGTTCTCGAGTTCTCAAATTAAAGCTCCTTATGCTTCATATTGAGCTCCTTATGCTTTCTGATAGAGCTCATAAGCTTGCTCATTTGCTTCAGATCGCATGCTGTGGATTGTTCAAATCTCACGTCTCAAGCTCTCAGGTCAAGCCCATATCAAATTGCGATCAGCTCCTAGCTCTCAAATCGCGATCAACTCTTAGCTCTGAGATTACGAACAGCCTCAGGTCATGTTCTCAGCTCTCAGATCACGATCAGTTCTTAATTCTCTAATCGTGACCAGTTGCCAGCATCAGAAAAAACGCATAGAAAGCTCAAAACAACCCCGAAACATGCTGAAACGATGGATTTTGGCCCCTAAAATGGCCAAAATCGGGTTCCCTGATTGTTACGATGTAGAGCTTGGAACAATTTTCCATGAATATCTTATGGGCTTCAAAACTCTTCATAGATCAAAAGTTATGGCTGTTTTAAGTTGGCTTGTCCGTTTAAGGCCTCTAAGCCGTGCGTTTGGGCTTCTCACGTCAACTCTCTCCAGGAATTCATCTACAAGACATTTTATGTCAGTTATCAGACCGCGTTCAGCTTCGGATCACTCCAAGCTTTCAGATCGCAGTCCTAGCTCTCAAGACCCATTATGCCAGACATAGTTCGAGCTCTTCAGTTTGAGACTGCAGCCTATAGTGTGACAACCATTTAAATCTAAGACACAACCATTTCTATTGTGCCAAAAATACACACTAATGTCAGTACCACCAATCAGAGTTCAACAAGCACTTAAAGAGATATTTTTTAAAGAGATATTTTATATCAATCATATCCCATTTTAAGATAAAGATTAAGGAGTGGTCCCCACGTGTCAAGACAACTTGCAAAAGCATTCATTATATTTACCTCAAATGTATAAATGGACACCTCTCTTTATGAAAAAGAGAGGTTGGACATATGAGAGCATATCTTTTAACTTGCTAGTACGTAATAATTCGTCACCATGATTACCTTATTGTTGAAGCCAAAATATTTCTAGGTTCTCAAGTATGTTTAGAACTTTTTGGCATAAAACTTTTTGTATTTCTAGGTTCTCAACAAGGAAAGGTATCACTTGAATTGATTCAAGATTGCATGAGTTGTGTTATAGTACAATGTATTTATAAAATTTACATTGGATAAAAACATTAAAGAGAATGCAAAATTGTAGACTTTTAACATGATTTTACATATTCTTAGTGCATACTTTACTTCTAGACTACTTGCATGAAGGATAATTAAATTAAAATAATAATTTTTGTAACTACACACACCTCTATTAAGTTATAATCTTCTTATAATAATAAAATTAGTTTAATTCTACCGTTATAACTACGGAGAGGTTTCACTGTATATAATAATGATATTATTTAATATTTTAATTATTATGAATACTTTAACAATAATTAATTTATATGAAAACATACATACATATATATTATTTCAAAACATTTGATTAAAATAAAATTTCTTTTGAATGATTATTACGAACTGTCTAGTTATTTCCTCTTTTTAATAATTAATTTTAATAACATATCATTTTTAATGTTTTAACTAAAGTTGATAAATAAATATCTCAATATCTCTTGTTTATTTAATCAAGGTTTAAATTATTTTATTCATATTAATTTAGTTTTTTTTATAATTATCAATAACTACAGTATTTAGCTAATTTATCACAATTATCATACAATTTCTTTCACATGAAAATCATCTTATCAAGATTAAATGATTTTCAGAAACCTCAGGGGAGGTGAGGTGAGGGTGAGGGTGAGGGTGATAGTCCATCTCAAAGTACTACACCTGGGCTCAAAGGGGTCTCAACCCATCGAAACGAGTACCCACCCGGTACCCGATATGAACAGTACACAGTAATCAGTATGCAGTCGTCCCATGAGTTCATGACTTCATGACAATCCTTTCCTTACTAATTCTCTTCTTTTCCCGCCGACTAATCGGGCGCCGTTTTCCTGCGGAAACATGCTACAACATTGACTTTTCATAACCCACAAAATTACCACCACCGCCATGGGCCTCTCCTCGAAACGACTCCTCAAACTCCTCAAAGCACAAAAAGACCCTCAATCCGCACTGGCCCTGTTCGACTCAGAGGTTCGCCACCCTTCTTACAAACCCTCATCGGACGTGTACCACCACATCCTCCGCCGACTCGTGCACCCGAAACTCGTTGGGCACGTCGGCCGAATCGTTTGTCTTATCAAAACCCGGAAATGCAAATGCCCCGAAGATGTGGCTGTAACGGTTATGCAAGCTTATGCGAAGAACTTGATGCCTGATAAAGCACTAGATATATTTCAAAACATGGGTGAACTTTTTGGATGTAAACCTGGTATAAGGTCGTATAATACTCTGTTAAATGCTTATGTTGAGTCGAGACAGTGGGACCGGGCTGAGTCTTTACTTGGGTATCTTGAGACTGTAGGAATTTTGCCAAATTTACAAACTTATAATATTTTGATCAAGATTTCGTGTAAAAGGAAGCAGTTTAAGAAGGCGAAGGCATTGTTGAATTGGTTGTGGAAAAAGGGCTTTAAGCCTGATGTGTTTAGTTACAGTACTGTGATTAGTGAGTTAGGAAAAAGTGGGGATCTAGTGGGTGCGTTGCAGGTGTTTGATGAAATGTTTTTTAGAGGAGTGGAGCCTGATGTGGTGTGTCATAATATTTTGATTGATGGGTTTTTCAAAAAAGGGGATTATGTGAAGGCAAAGGAGATCTGGGAGAGATTGTCGACAGAGTCCTTGGCTTATCCAAATGTGGTTACTTATAATATAATGATTAATGGTTTGTGTAAATGTGGAAGATTTGATGAGTGTTTGGAGATATGGGATAGGATGCAGAAGAATGCAAGAGAGAAGGATTTGTTTACTTATAGTAGTTTTATTAATGGATTGTGTAAGGCTGGGAATGTTGATGGAGCTGAAAAGGTTTATAGAGAGATGGTTGAGAATGGGATTCTAGCGGATGCGGTCACTTTTAATGCAATGCTCAATGGATTTTGTACTGTAGGGAAGATTAAAGAATGTTTTGAGTTGTGGGAGCTGATGGGGAAGAAAGGTTGTCGTAATGTTGTGAGTTATAATATATTTATTCGAGGGTTATTAAAAAATGGCTGCGTCGATGAAGCAATTTTGATTTGGGAGCTCATGCTAGAGAAGGATTGCGAAGCTGATTCCACGACTTATGGAGTTTTGATTCACGGATTATGTAAGAATGGTTACTTGAATAAGGCTTTACGGATACTAATAGTGGCAGAAGATGGAGGAGGTGATTTGGATGCATTTGCATATACCTCCATGATTGATGGGTTATGCAAAGAAGGGAGATTAGATGATGCGGTCAGTTTAGTCAATCGAATGGATAAGCGTGGCTGTAAATTGAATGTTCATGCTTACAACACACTGATGAATGGATTTATTCGGGCTTCAAGGCTTGAGGAAGCAATTTGTTTTTTTAGGAAAATGGAAGATAAGGGCTTTTCTCGAACTATTGTTTCATATAACACTCTCATCAGTGGTTTATGCAAGGTGGAAAGGTTTAGCGAAGCATACTCTTTTTTGAAAGATATGTTAGAGAAAGGGAGGAAACCGGACATGGTCACTTATAGCTTGTTGATGGATGGTCTCTGCCGAAGCAAGAACATTGACATGGCTGTCAACTTGTGGCGCCGAGTTCTTGAACAGGGTTTTAGGCCTGATGTAACCATGTACAACATTTTAATTCATGGGCTTTGCTCTGCAGGCAAAGTTGAAGATGCTTTGCAGCTTTATTCAAATATGAAGAGGAGCAACTGTGTTCCAAATCTTGTGACTCACAACACTGTCATGGAGGGGCTTTATAAGACTAGAGATTCTGAAAAGGCATTGGGTATTTGGGATCATATTCTAGAAGATGGGCTACAGCCGGATATCATATCTTATAATATTACCTTCAAGGGCCTTTGTTCATGCTGTAGAATATCAGATGCTATTAGGTTCTTGGATGACGCCTTGGACCGTGGAATTCTTCCTACTGCCATTACATGGTACATACTTGTCAGAGCAGTGATAGGTGATGTGCCTTCTGCGTGAAGCTTTGTTTAGAAGTCTTAGATGTAAGTATCAACTCCTAACTGCTTATATATGTTGGGTTTTTTTTCCTCACCTACCATATTTGCTTATAAGTTAGAATGTATGATGAGTGAGGCGAATTAATGATCATTTTTATGCTCTTATTCCCTCTTTATGTATTTGGGCTTGATATACCCTATGAACATAAAAGGCTGGAACAAGCCTGTGGGCTAGCAGTTAGAGATGATAAGATCTTTGATTAAAATTCTGGGGATTGTGATTTAGGTAAGAGTATTTTCCTGAACTTAATGAAGTATAACTTTTTTTTTCCTTTACTGCAGATGAAATTTGTGCTCATTCTTGCAGACGTAATTTGAATGGGACTGTGTGTTGGTACTTGAACAAAGTGGTAAATCCTTCTGAATCCTGCTTGCTAACTGGCATGCAGAACCCCATTTGTTAAGGCAAGTTTAATTCTTGGTCCATAGATCTTGCCATGTCATTGGTTAAACCGTTAAAGCATATACAGAGAGTCGTCTAATTTACAGTTTCAGAAAGAAGTTTTTGGCACAACTACTCCCTGTCATTTTGACAAAAAAACCAACAAATTTGTTGGACTAATTTGTTGCATTGACTTTTTATTATGACACTACATGCTGCGTATTATATCTGATTTGACGCAAGTAACAGCTGCATTTATTGGCTAACCTTGAGTTTGAATATCTTGCACTAGAAAAGTGATAACAGGTTGTTATTTAGACATTTAAACTGCAGGCAGTAATTTCACCTCGTATATTATGGGAATTGGCAATTTGAGAAAATTATACGAAAAAGAAGGAGAACACCTCTTTTATGTAGCTATAAACTATGTTGTCATAGAAGGAATTCAATACCTTTCTTTGCAGATACAATGATGGAAAAATTCACCAAGCATCATTCATTGTAACTCAATATGGGTTTTGGTGATTTTAGTGTAATCACCAAGATCACCAAGATGATGCAAAAGCAAAGTAGCGTGAGTTATCAACCCCTAGTTTTAAGTATCACTGGGGGCTATATATCATGCTATATCATTGAAACCAAGGCTAAAAGCTTTACACAATATATTCAATAAACTAAATCGCAGGAAATATTTTATTTCTTTTCTTTGTCAGTCTTTCCATTTCCTGTTGTTTCTGTTTCTGATAGTATCCCCTGTTCATAAAGGAACTGAAGAAGCAAAGGCACTAAAATTGCTCCAAGAACAGCAACTTTTCGCCAATCAGGTGAATTGATGAAAGAGTCAGCAATTCCTATGACTAGCAGGCCAATTAAAGCAAGGTAAATGTTCCTCCTGGTTTTTGAACCAGCATTTTGTGCAGTGACCTCTTTTATCTTCTTCATTTCCTCTTTAGCTTTTGCTTTATCAACAGGTTTTTTCTTTTTCAGACTCTTGAAGAATAGCCCCTCATTCCGGTCTTCCTCCATTTGACCTTCAAATTCTGCTAACTTGTTATCATTTTCCACAATCTCCTGTCTGTTCATTTCTGCAGATTCCTCGAAGGCTTGCATTTGGCTCTCTATATTCCCCATTATCTGCTAACCAGGAACGAATACGAAATGGGTTATGAGCATTACTACACATTATAATATAAACCAAGACCCTTTTTCTATGATTAGTGCATGGGAATTCAATGAATTATATACTGACCCTGGCACTAGCTTCATCCAGTTCTTTGAGGGCATCCTCTCCAACTTTGTCAAACTCAGTACTGGCTTCTTCAGCAAATTCTGTTAGATAAGCTGATCTTTCGTCCAAATAATCCGTCAGACGGACTTTTTGCGCTTGAAGCATTGCAATTCTTGCAAGCAGCTCTTGTTTACTAGCATCACCTTCAGCTGTGGAATCTTCAGAGTCGGAATCTTTGGACTTGCAGAGAGACACAAAAGAATGTTTTGTGGTGATAGTGATTCTTCTTGTGTAGAAAATATCATGCTTGGTTGGAGTGAAGGAGGTTTGAATAGATTTTAGAGCAATCATCTTTTCTTTTTTTTCTTGAGAAGAGAGAGGATTTTGTACAGATGATGGAAGTTTTTGAACCCCAAATTCAGTTTTCATTATCCTGTTTTCGGTGTATATATACTTTCTTTTTTTTTATGTAACGACTCATTGAAAACATGTGCGTGCCACGTGTCAGTAACAAGGTTACAACCCGGCTGGAGGACTGCGCATTGTCCTTTTGGAGTTTTTTCCAGTGTTTTAAAACCCAACCCGGGTAAAACCGGGCAAAGTGGCCGGGTCTCGAGTTGATTTGTTTATGAAATCCGACAAAGTGGTTGAGTGTTAAGTTGACCGGTTGAACCCATTTGACCGACGGGTCAAATCGGTGACATAAGCATGTCTATAAGTTTAAAATCTAGTAAAAACACTTTTGAAAATTACACATAAGTCTATAGAAGTTTGAAATCTTGTAAAAACACCTTAAAGTACACCACTGGTGTTGCAACGTAGGCCAAATAGGGTTTGTTTCTTGCGTTGACAACATATCTCATCATCACGAAAACTCTCCCCTCAGCTTCTTGACCAAAACCCATCTCATCTCACCCCTATTCGCCTTGCCAATTGTTGACAACAATTAGATTTTTGCGATTTTTAGTCATTTCACTCATCGAAAATCACTTTTGTCGCCACCTTTCAACTCAACATCTTAGCCACCAATCATTCGTTGATCGTTGTCCTAATCTCTAAGGTTTGCCATGTACAGTCAAAATTGGCATTCTGTCCGATGAAGGCCTTGTGTCTCGATTGAATCGGCTAGGCTGGGCCGGGTTTTAAAACACAGGTTTTTCCACATTAAAGTGGGTCAAGTGCAAGACCACCCGTGGGCCTAGTGTTTTAACATTAATCTGACTCCTTAGATCCTTAGAATCGAATCAATTCTTGAACCCCCACCCCCCACCCCCCCCAAAAAAAAAAAAAAAAAAAAAAAGAATAGAATCGAATCAATTCAAATGTTAAACAAACATATAACCAAATAGTTTTAAACGAAGAATATGAAGCACAAAAAACTGGATACATGAAACAGTATTTACAAGCATTTGGTCAGTCAATCTCAAACAAGTAATTCCATATTTTATAATTACCAGAAACACAAGTAAAACTGAAACTCCTACTCATACTTTTATAATCCATCTTTGCATCAACGTGCACGCCCCGTTGCCTTCTTGTAGGTATACCACTTGGAAATCCATAGATACACAAGGAAGTTTATTAAACTGAGGATGGCCAAGAGCCAGTAGAAATGGTCAAGGTGACCCCTGTTCAAATTATCTGGAATCCAACCGAGCTTTCCATGCCTTGTGGTCACTTTAGTCACAACGGTCACCAGCAGAGTGCTCAAGTAGTTACCTAATGCAACAGTTGTAAGTGATAGTGCTGAGCACAAGCTTCTCATGGCATCGGGTGCTTGATCATAGAAGAATTCTAACTGCCCAATGAAAGTAAAAACTTCTGCACAACCAACTAGAAAATACTGTGGGACTTGCCAGAAAATCGACATGGGAATGTACTCCAGATCATAGTAATTGTGCCTCCTGACAAAGTTGAGCCTAACAATCTCCAAAACTCCAGCAACTATCATGGCAACTGTGGAAATGACAAGTCCGATTCCCATTCTTTGGAGTTGAGTGAAGCCTCGCTCATGACCTGTGAATTTCCTCACAACTGGAACGATGACTTGATCATATACAGGAGCCCAGAATATTACACTGAGAGTGTCAAAGAGGGAGAGGGATGCGGAGGGAATCGTGAAGTGAGGTCCCATGTGTTGGTCCATAGTGTTGCCTTGTAAAACAAACATAGTGCTCATTTGACTGTACACAGTTGCGAAGACAATTCCAGATGCCCATACTGGCAGCAATCTGATTATGGCCTTGAGCTCCTCAACTTGAGTTACAGTACAGAGTCTCCATGGGTTTGCAAAGCCCTTGACGCGATCTGTCTGAGTCTCAACTGCAGCCTTGTCAAAAAACCTGCAATATAACAATTTTGTTTAGATGACTAATAAACCATACAAATTCAGAAACCGAGGAGCTTAGAACTGTTTCAAACATGGTTAAATATTAAAGCTCCAGGAAATGGTTCCAGGGGATCTGGCTACTTCAGTCTTCCTAAACCAGATTGCTGATCATGTTAACAGTATTTATGGAGGCAAATATAAGTTCATAAAATGCAAACTTATATGCTCTCTTATTGGGATGTAATTTTTCAGAGACTAACTCTTATGCAGCTTTTAACTAACCAACACAACATAAATAAACTTAAGGAGTCAAAGCAACAATGAATCTTGTGAGCTTTATATGAGACTACTGACCAAGAGATTTATTTAACTACCGTACACTCAAAAAATTATATGCAAGTGAGCTAGTGAAGAATAATTTAGATACTTCTAGCTGATTCGTGAATAAAAAAAAAACCTCAGATAAGACCAGGCTATGGCATAGCAGTTGATAAACTTACTTAAATTTGTCTGTTGGCTCGAGTTTGCGGCTTCCTTGGATACTGCATTCCTCATCTGTAGTCTCATAAAGAAGAGACTTATCAGCAGGAACTTTTACATTTGCTTTTCTAAAGGATGCAACTATAACCTGGAACATCCTTGTAATAGGACTGCCTCCAGGTTTTTGTATCCGATACAACCGACTACCAGTGAAGAAAAACACTACTGCAATGGCCATTGCAGCTGCTGGGATTCCAAACCCCCAACCCCAGCCTACGTTCATTTGTATCCAGACAAGAACAGAGGAAGCAATAAGTGCACCAATATTGATAGAAAGGTAAAACCAATTAAAAAAAGAGCTCTTCTTCTTTCTCTCAACGTCATCAGTTTCATCAAATTGATCTGCACCAAAAGATGAGACACATGGCTTAATTCCACCAGTACCAAGAGCAATCAAGTACAGTGCAGTGAAGGTGACTGCAGTTTGTGTCATTGTTGCATGGCAGGCATCCTTATCGCACCGTGGTTTCAATCCAGTGACTGAAGAAGTCAATGTTAACAGTGTCATCCCCTGTGAGTAAAATAAGAATTCATCATTTCCAGGCAAAATAAACCAGTTTGACAACAAGCTTTAGCAAAAATGATGTCTTGGCCAGTGTTCCTAATTCCCAGTCTATATCAATCATAAACCTCACTGGGAAGTTTCAGTGAAAACAAAGTTCACAAAGACCAAAAATAAGAGCATAAGCAATAAAAAAAAATGTGGCTTGACTTGACGATCAATTTTACAGTTAAATTGACTATTCATCAATATCCATAAACTTGAGAGGCTGAAAACTCATCCAATTCAAGCACTTATGTACGTTTCATTTTTTAATCAAAAACTTACAAAAACATAGAGGATTGAGAAACTGGCAATGGTCCAGTATCTACCCAAGTAAGAATCCGCAAGGAATGCTCCAATCAATGGTGTGATATAGCAGGTTCCTGACCAATTTGTAACATTGTTTGATGCAGTAACATTTCCCTGACTGAGCTGCTTTTGGAGATAATTCACCAGATTAGTACTCATCCCATAATATGCCAACCTCTCGCAGCATTCATTTCCTGCAAGAAAAAGTAAAAGTTGCAAGTGTTACAACATCTCAGGATTATCAGATATCACAAAGAATGAAACACAGCTAATATTAAATTCATTCAAGACAACAACAAAGTAATTGTTAAACCCTACCAAGAATAAAGCGGCATGCCTTCCAATTTCCAGTTTTCTTCTTATTAGCTGGATTTTTATTGATATCCACCGTCCCATCTTTTGTATAGACATCTTCTTCCACCATGTTATCCTTTCAAATTTGCTAGATATACTTGCTTTTTTCTTTTTCTTTTTTCTCTCAACAAATCACCTACAAAATCAGCTGCGCAATTCACTAATTCTTAGATTGAACGAATTCACATGATATGAATAAACAACATCAAGAATAACAGTCATCGTTACAATAGTTAAACGCACAAAATATTACCAGGGATTCCATTTCCTGGCAACTCAACAGAGCACAATAATTATATATCAATTGAATCAATTCACCTACCTTATATAGTTATATTCACACACATATACCTATATATATATTCAAGATTATAGGGAAATTCAATAAATGTTGTCAAATAAGGTACGTAATTAATACCACGATACTATGAGATAATCCCACAAACAGTTATGACACTATAATCAGAATCTCATCATATAAAAACCAAGTTAGCTTAAGCATGACCGAGACAGCACAGTCCGGACACACCTCTAAATAAAAAAACCTACCTTTTTTGTCAAGATGATTTTGAAAGTAAGGTAGGAAATTATGAACTCCACCTAGAGTAAAAAATTAAGGGAAGAGACGATAAGGTCAAAGATGGTCCGCAAAGAGATATTTGTCATCATCAAAGAATCCATAAAATTCCATTTTATTATAATAAAATTACACACAAGATTCTCTGGCACAACCGCACAAGCGTAACGGTGGTATAAAACATTATTACTGAAGTCAAAGGTCAACTAAAATTATAAAAATAATAAAAAGTTAAGTCTGAACAATCAGTATTTAATGAATTATAGAACTGAAGATTCGTCACTGTTACGTTACGATGATAGTCGAAATCAAACAAAAACAAAAATATGCCGATAGGCAATAAAGGAAAACAGCCATGGTAAGAATCAAGAATCATGCAAAGAAAATCATTCTTAAACAGATCTAAAAATAGAGAAAGAAATGATTTTAAATTGCATGCAATTAAAATAATGAAAAAGAGAAAGAAAAAATGGAGTTAAGGGTACCTGAGGGTGAGTAATGGTTGAACTTTGAAGTGGAGAAGGGAGATAAATGAGTGAAGAGTTTGGCCTGGTGGGTATTAATACGATATGAAAGAGAAATGGGAATAAGAGTAAAACCAGGACACGAGTCGAGGTCCGGTTCCTACTCCTTCACAATCACGCCTTATTCATCAGAGAATTGGATTGGAGTTCTGAATTGAGACGAATACAAATACAAATACAAATACAAAATCTTTATATTTTTTTTAATTTAATTTACGTTTGTTTTTTGTACGTGTTTGTTTTCCTTTTCCATATCTCATTTCTCCTGTTTTTCATTTTCACCCCCGTCATTTTCTATTATTTCCTTTGCCTGGTTTTGTCTTGGGATTTATACATTTTAGTCTATTATTTTTGTAATGGAAAACCAACTCACGTTTCTTTGTAACAAAAGTACTAGTCTGAAATTTTTAATATAATTGTTTTTCTATGTTTAAATTATCTAATAGTTGTCTAACGTCAAATTATTTAATATGGTGTAAAATCAAATTGGATTTAGACGAGATGAATTAATTTTTTATTCAATTGAATACAATTTTATTAAATTGATTGGATTTAGTAAAGACGATTGGTTTGGATCCAATGAACATCCCTAGTTAGGAGTGTTCAAAAGAACCGATTGGAACCGAAACCGGCAGGTATCCGAGGTTTGGTTCCGGTTCCTACTCGAAATCGGGCGTCAACGGATAGGTTCCGGTTCTAAATTTTGGTAACCGGAACCTGGAACCGAGACTAATATAAAATAAACTTAAAGAGTAGGAGGGTTAATAAAAACTTTTGTAGAAAAAGTAATATGAATATATTTACATTTATATTTCACATTTAAGTAAGTTGGTTTGACTTTTGAGAATCTATCTTTACAAAGTAATGGAGTTTGTAGTTTTGAATTTATAATTTTATTTTCATTAACAAGTGCCAGGTGGGGGCGTATTTATAAGTTTTTAAGGGTTTTTTTTGTCATTTAAAAAACTTTTGGGGGTCACATAATTTTATAGAGTACCCAGAATCAGAACCGTTGTTATAGGTTCCGGTTCCAAATTTCAAGGAACCGTCGGTTCTAGTTTCGATTCCTTAAAAAAATATAGAGTACCCGGAACTAAATCCCCCTATCCCTAGTATTGTCATTGGGAAATCGAAACAACAAAAGGGCTAAAAAGCAATATAGGAAATTATGGGGGAGAGGAAAATCAAGGCTAAAAATCTGGAAGATTTAATAATGATTCCTGTTTTACCATTAATAATGGGATCCTGTTTTTATAGATGCATCTTATAATTTGGGTAATTCTGTATGTGGACGATTTCATATATATAATACATAAATAATTTTGAGTCCAAAAATATGTTCACGCGTGCTGTTGCGTTGGGGGAAAGGTAAAATAGGCCACGGATCCTTCTGGTAGCGGCCATATGGATGACGGTGTGTGAATCTATCTTTAAAGTTAAAGGTGGGGCTATATCAATAACGGAGTTTAAAGTTGATTTTAATACGGAATCTTGTGCTTAAAAGTTAAAACATAAAAAAGTCTTAAGTTTAAAGCACTTTTTTGGGCTATTGATCAATTCAGCAATAATCCATGTGAAATCCTCCTTTTTTTCTTTGCAGGGTAGGACGTTGTGGAATATTAAGTTCCCATTTTTTTTTTTTCTTTTCATTATTTCTTTGTTTTAAAGAGGAAAAGTTGTATTCGAATTGAAAATTAAATAGTAATGCTCTTGAATTTTTCTAACAAGCATTGAAAAACATAAGAAATGACTTATATACTTAGGTGTAAAAGTTTTTAACCGGCATAAAGGTGAATCGTCTAATCGCTTTCGTCTAATTATTGACTTTTAAATTTAGGATTTGTGAAGTGAACTATTAGTATTAGACACTCAACTTTGATTCATATATTAAAAACTTCGGAATGTTCACACTAAAGATTATATATATAAAAACTTCAAAATTCTTAGGTGTGTATGTTTTGAAGTTTTTCACGCAAATACTAAGGTGAATGTCTAATCCCTAACTTTTAATTTAACTTTAATCTACACATTAAAAACTTTAGAATGTTCGTATTAAAATATATATGTATGTATGAACAGTTTTACTAGGATCTCAACTTTGATCTACACGTTAAAAACTTCAGCGTGTTTGCATTAAAATATATATATATATAAACAGTTTCACGATTATCAAGAAAATTTGTATCCGAATTGTAAATTAAATATTCTGGACTTTAACTTGTTGGAAATTTTCAGTATGTGGACTACCATTAATTATGTTTTAATTTTAATAAAATCAAGTATATATATAATGAAATTGTAAGTGTGGCTACGTAATTTATTAAGACGGTAAAGGGAGGGATCAATAAATTATTATTAAAAAGGCTTAAGTCCCCTTTCTAAATGTACGATAGTTCTAACTCCATTTCAAAATATCATCATTCTGTGTGTTACTGAAACGGAAGACAAGTCCTTATGATCAACAATCGATCAATTACAGATTTCAGAAAAGGCTTTCTACATTGAATTATGACACAATCATGTTTGTCTTATTCCTAATTTAATTATTCAGTATTTTATAAACTAATATGTGTATCTTAGACCGTCATTGAATGGAAACTATATTGGTTTTGTGGTTCAATGATTGGGATTACATAAATTAAATTTATGTGCTATCAATCTTACGTATCTAACAAGCATTGAGATACAAATAGATAAGAAATGACCAAAATTTTTAAGTGTGGATGTTCTGAAGTTTATAAGGTGCATACTAAAGGTAAGTACCCAGTCATTGACATTTAATTTTTAGGGTTTATGATGTAAACGACTATACGCTCAACTTTGACCTTCACCTTAAAAACTTCACAATATTTCCATTAAAATATATAGGTATATATAAACAATTTCACGAAAGATTGTCATTTTTGTGTTAATTTTTTCGTTAAATAATAGTAAAATGAAGTATGCTTTGAAATAACACATTATATGTAACACTGTCACATCTGTTTTTGTTAAGTGGTAGGAGTATTGGGCAATTATGGTTGTCCATTCTGAAAGTTTACTAACAAGTAGACAATCTATTTAATAATATGTTGAACCTGAGATAACCATGAAGGCACTATCAAATTCAGAAGAGTCAAACATTAATCAAAGCACAAGGCATGCTTGGAGTTAGTGGGTTTGGATTAGGTTATTGTTTGCACATTTGTTTTAATTTTGTTCTTGGCCTACATCATCATCTCATCATGTTTACATAATTTACATTATAATAAGTTATTCAAATCGCTTTTCTTATCATATGGTTGACCCCATTGTTTTAAAACCCGGATAGGAGGGCAACTCGTCCTACTGCCCGAGTCACGGGTCAACCGGTTGGACCGATGACGTCAGCAATAATTTAGTTTTTTTAAAATTTTATATTAATCCCTTAAATTTTAGTATATTACAAAATATCCCTAAAAATTTCGAAGTAGTCCCTAAAATTTTTATTTATTTAAAAATATCCCAAAAAATTATCAGTTAATCTCTAAACTTTTGAAATCTCTCCAAAACACCCCTAAAACATTATAAAGTTGACCATATAAATTTGAAATATTACAATATCCCCCTAAACCCTGAACCGGACTGGAGAAGCTGTCGGGTCCCGATCGAACTGGTCAGGAGAAGCTGCTGGACCCCGATCGAACCGTTTCGACCGGATAGTCCGGTCTGGGTTTTAAAACAGAGATTGACACTAGGAATACTTTTGTTGACACTATCAATTGCCTTGTGGAATGTGGGTTCACATTGGTCTTTGTCTAGCATTAACTTAATAACAAATCCAAATCTATATAATTAAATAGGAGTTATAGTTAATTAATTCATAGCTTATTGTCATTATCGAGGAAGTTGTTGACTGATAGTGAGAGTTTACCTCATAGTTGTGTTGTGCCCATCATTTTCAAACTTTCTATTCTTAACTCCCTTACAAGAGTTTTTCATTTATTAATTTATTATTATTATTATTTTATAATTGGGGTGTCTCATCTAGTTTGCGCGTATTTCAAATAATCTTCGAGACCTATTGAATATCCTTTTAACCTAAAATTCTAAGGTAAGTCACAAATGTGATAGATGATTTCAAGGTTTAAACCCAGAAAATCAATAAAGAGAGCAAACTTTCTTGCCAGACCAACTCCTTAGAGTTACTTGCTTACAAGATTTGTTTTAGTTGTTTTTTGGCCTAACTTTCGTCACTTCTATGGCTTATTGAGATGTTGAGAGTTTTAATTAACACTCTTCCAGGATATCGTTAATTTGGAGCTTTGACAAGTACCATATTATTTGGTGCAGTATTGGGAGATTGTTACTAGCTAGGTATTGAGATGATATTATCATATTGTATGTTAGACTTCTATATCTTTATAATATTAATATATTTGTTTTCACATTTGTAAACATAAATTTTACACTGAATTAAGGTAAAAATCGTATCTTTTGTGTGAAAGTGATATATTTCAGTATTTCACGTATTGTTCATCTTAATATTTGATATGCTTCTACGAGTTCAAAACAAATATTGTATTTCTTTATTTTCTTATAAATAAAATGTATTAATACCAGAATAAGTACCAATTTCATGTAAAAATGAAGTTGCTAATGCAAATCAAATAATACTAATTCGCCAGAAACGTGCAAATTAATCAATGAGTGGATACCAAGGGCCTCTTGTATGTATACCACCTAGCAACCAGAAGATATGCTCCCAAATTGAGGACACTCAATGAAGCCAAAAGCCAAAAGAAGTAGTGAAGATGACCATAGTTTAAGTTGTCTGGTATCCACCCAGATTTACCATGCCTAGTGCTCAAATCTGTAACAGTATTAACCAGCATTGTGCTCAAATAGTTCCCCAATGCCGCAGTCGTCAGTGACAGAGCCGAGCACAGGCTTCTCATGGCATCAGGGGCCTGCTCATAAAAGAACTCCAATTGCCCAATAAAGGTGAACACTTCAGCACACCCGATAATGAAGTATTGCGGCACCTGCCAGAAAATTGACATTGGAATGTGTTTAAGTTCATAGTAATTGTGTTTCTTTACTTCGCGGAGCCTCACAAGCTCCAGAGTTCCTGCAGCCAGCATAGCGAAAATTGAGATGACTAGGCCGATTGCTATGCGTTGAAGCTGAGTGAATCCGCTTTTATGGCCTGTGAACTTTCTCGCAAATGGCACGATTAGACGGTCGTAAACCGGTACCCAAAAGATGACACTGATTGTGTCGAAGAGGGAAAGTGAAGCTGAGGGGATTTCAAATGAGCTGCTGCCCATGTGAAGGTCCATTGTGTTGCCTTGCAGGACAAACAAGGTGCCCATTTGACTGTATACAGCAGAAAATATAATGCCGGTTGCCCATATTGGAAGCAATCTTATAATGGACTTAAGCTCTTCAACCTGAGTCACTGTGCATAGTCTCCAAGCATTTATGGACCCTTTTATACGATCTGATGGGGTCTCCACAGCTGCTTTGTCAAAAAAACTGATGATATAAATCTGTTAGTACTTATGTATATGTAAAACAATAAGTAAATTGTAGTTTGTAAACTATACCTTAAGTGCTTTGTATGATCAAGCTTGCGGCTTCCTATGACAAAAGATTTCTCATCAGCGGTCTCGTATAGAAGAGACTTGTCAGCGGGCACTGGTGTCCGAGTTTTCCTGAAAGAAGCGACTAGCACTTGGCAGATTCGGGTCAAGGGACTCCCTCCTGGCCTTTGGTTTCGATACAACCGAGTACCCGAGAAGAAACTTACAACGGCAATGGCCATAGCCACTGCAGGGATGCCGAAGCCCCAACCCCAACCAACGTTTGTTTGTATCCAAACAAGACAAGAAGCAGCAACAAGAGCACCAATATTAATGGAAAAATAGAACCAATTAAAGAAAGAACCCTTCTTTTTCTTCTCCGTTTCATCGGAGTCATCGAATTGATCAGCACCAAATGATGAAACACAAGGCTTAATCCCTCCAGTTCCCAAAGCTATCAGATAAAGTCCTACAAAAAATACTGCAATCTGTAACCCTGTTGGGTGGCAAACATTTTTTTCATCACATGTTGGCTTCAGTCCATGGAGAGATGCTGACATTGTTAATATTGTCATCCCCTGCAAAAAAAAAAAAAAAATATATATATATATCAGATGGCTTTAATTTTTAGATATTATATATGTGAAATAACAGTTAAATGATTCAATTTACTTACAATTACATAAATGATAGAGAAACTGGCAATTGTCCAATATCTTCCCAAGTAGGCATCGGCTAGAAAGGCTCCAATAAGTGGCATGACATAGCACGTTCCAGACCAATTGGTGACATTATTAACAGCTACAACACTTGGCTGGTTTAGTTTGAATTTGAGATAATTAACCAGGTTTGTGTTGATACCATAGTACGCCAATCTTTCACAGCATTCATTTCCTGTGGTACATCCAAGATATGTTGATAACAAACATTTCTAAATTATCATATCAAAAGAGCAATAAAACACAGAGAGCTATAACACAAACTTTATAAAAAAATACCTAGGATATAAGGGCATGCTTTCCAAGTTCCTTTTTCCTTCCTGATGGCAGGATTGTTGCAGAAATCAGTTGTTCCATCTTTAGCATAGATATTTTCTTCTGCCATTGTTCGGTAGATTTTCTTTGTTACTTCGACGGTTTGACCTTCAGTTTCCGCTATCTCATATCTACTATCACAATTGGTACATAATCGATTTATTACCTGAAGGATTTAGCATTATATCCTTCGTATAAGAGAAATTGCTTACAGTGCAGTAAGCTGAAAAGAGTTTCATTTTAAAAAATAATGGGCACGCAATACTATCCAATCCTTCAATGTATTGTTAAGACCTGACATTATCGCTCGCTGGGTTAGTTATGATTTCTAGATATCATATATCTAGAAATGAACTATATTTATATGACACTCTTTTCTCTAACTTCTTGGTTTGGGCACACTTTCATAGGAAGACTGAGTTATTACGAATGACCAGTGAGGGTTGTGTCTGCATTCTTTTCCTATTAGAAGTTGTGGAAACTCCTCAATAGACAAGCTGGCTTTGGGCCATGAATAAAGCATGGGTTGGGCCTAAAATAGTTGAGTTGAACCTTGGCTCCATTTAATAATGGGAAGTGATTTTGAGCCCCATTTAATTGATCAATAGCATTATTTATTTATTTGTTTATTTTTTGACATTTTTTTTACAAGTTTAACCTTAAAGAAAATTGAGTAAACGTACATTTTCCCACCCAAATAATGGCTTAATGATACTTTTTCACTCATAAACTTTTAAAATATCATTTTACTACCTAGATTTATATTCCATTTCTGGTTTCGACATAGTTGTGACCCTGCATCACCACCATTCTCTTCTTTGATAATTACTCATCAAAATCTCTCAAACCCTACTCCCGTCGACCATGCCAATCATCGGCAATCAAGCGATTAATTCAGATCACTCTCATCCACCAAAATCCAACCTTCCACCACCAAAAAACTCATCGGCCCCCCTCTTCAAATGCCCCAACAGTCTGGACCGAGTTTGCCTTCTATTTGCTACTAAAGTATAGATTTGAATAATAAAATGATATTTTAAAAGTCCATAGACAGTGAAGTGTCATTAAACTATTATTTGTGTGGAAAAAAGTTGTTAACTCAAAGAAATTATTAAAAAGGATGTTATAAGTATACTCATACTCTATTTTATACCCTAATCCATATTTTCATGATCAATTTCATGCAATCAATTAGATGGGGCCAAAAATCACTTCCCTTTAATAATTATGCTATTCTTTTAATGGAAATATCTTTTATCGGATAAATGTATGATCTTGTACATTCATTAATCAAATAAAATTTTATAATTGTATATTTACTTCAAAAGTAAACAATAAAGGTGGTAGATGAGGACGAAAAGTCACAATAAAAAGATATAATTTAATAGTATAATAGTGATTTGATATACACGTTCATAAGAAAAGTTTAAGTCCTATATGTACTTTATCATTGGTGTAGAAAATTATGAAATTGAGTGTTGTTATGAAATTATATAGGGGCGTAAAGTAGTAATCAATAACTTTTCTAAATAAAATTATTGTTATACAGTATAACATCTTTATAGTGATATTCTATATATGAATAACTTTTATGTAGTCATAAAAACTTTTGATCCCAATTTAAGCTAGTTATAAATAAAAATAAATTTCATATTATAATAAGTTATAATTTTTCTAAATCCCGTCTTAAGGAACTTGCCTCTACATAGTAATAATCATATGCATATTGCAAAAAATATATGCTATATATGTTACATTAAAGATTTAAGATGAAATAAAATATTTATCTAAAGTTGTTTGGGATAATGATTTATGTTTTAGAGTTGTTACCACATCTTTTATCTTATGGGTACATAACAAGTTATTAGCATGTACACCTTCTTATTGAAGCCAAAATATTTCTAGCTCCCAAGCATGTTTAGAGCTTCTTGGCATGAAATTTTTGGTATTTCCATACTATCATCCTTAAGATTATCTCCTTCCTCTTCTTGTCTAATTCCAGTGATGATTTCTTTTTCAGTTTAAATATACACGACTAGTTGCTCATTTGGATTATTGAGGAAGACATTAATATCTATTTTATCAGTATAGTGAAGTTGTTGAATCTGATCACTCAATTTTACAGTGACTCTTTGATATCAATTTCTGTGCTATCCTAATGCTATTAAAACAATGAATTGAAATCCTAATACTACTAAAACATGAATTATAAAATAAGAAATCAAAACAAAAATTATTGTAACTACACCTCTATTAAATTATAATCTCCTTATGATAATAAATTTAATTGATCAAACATTATGTCTATAAAGAGGTTCTACTATATTAAGATGTGATTAGTGGAAAGATTTAATTAGATGAAACGTAATTTCATTGGAACAACTATTAATGTTTTGACTTAATGAGGTTGGGTATACATCCATTCCTAAATATATTCTTAAAAATTAACTAATTTCACAATGTCCGATGATGTATGACCTTGAATTTCCTTTTAAAATTGATTGCATAAATATATCTATCCACCGCATTGATTTGGGTCAGTTGTAACTGTAAATATGACATTTCATCTTGTCCAAAATATATATATTATATGGTTTTAGTAACTTATTATCTCAGTAAGAAATGTAATACGTTGATAATATAGATATATTAATTATAAGGTGGAAGACTGAAATCAAGAAACTAACGAAAGTGAAAATGATAAAGTGGGGATGAAATTAGGTTGAGTACTAGAGTACCATCTAAGGTACGGTACACTCACCATCACCAATGTTAGATCAAAGAGACAGTCACTAAGTCCCACATTCTCTCCAACTCTTTTGAAAATGAAACAGACACCATTCTTAAAAATGGCATTTTCACATTTTACCGTCACCTCTTTTATCAACAAATACCCCACATGTACATGTGATACCGAAACTTACAGTTTTCTTTCACCTCAAGCCACACAATTAAGTTCCAACAAATTCATATAAATTTATTTTTATTATATAGTTTCATTTTTTTTTTTTTTATGACAAGGAGTATCCGGACAGTTTACGTGGACCTCAACTAACTTTCTAGAACCCTAGAACTACTAGTCAAATAAGAGTTTCAGTGACTACATCTATTAACAATCGATGAGGGATTCGAATTCAGAACCTCTTGAGTAATATACCCAAAAGTTATTCTCAAACTACTCGATCACCCAGAGATAATTTTATATAATTTCATTAAATAATTAAGTTGACGTATAAGATATTGTCCCATTAGAATTAACCATGTATTATCGGCCACTATGCCTTACCAATAAATAATCATCTCTTTTTGAAATGTTTTACATGAATTTCATTCAAAAATCATGTAAAACATTTACCATGACTCCTATATATAAAAAGAAAAAGACACGTGCCCTCATTACAATAACCCAAACTAGATGGTGAACCTTATTTTCTTCAAATTTAAGGCAGAAAAATAAAAAACCATATGTCCAAAAAGAAAGAAGCAGACAAAAATCCCGAGAATGTAATTAATCTGTTCTGTTTTTTGTACATGTGAATGTTGGTGATGAAAGAAACAGCAGTTGTTACAATCTTATCTTAAAGTTGTAATAAGTTGAGAACTCGCAATCGCTTAGGGTTTGAGCTCAGATAAAATAAAATATGAAAGTGAAACCAAACCTGCCATGCATGCACAAAGTCAAATTAAGCTTGCCGCCACAGTATATATAAAAAGCGCTCCAAACTTTAATTATAATTAAACAATGACATATAATAACGTTAAAACACAAACTTTCAGTTTTATCAAAGCATGATTAATTACCTCTGACGGGCCACTTAAATCATCTCCACTGTGCAGATTTCATCAGAAAAAGAAAAGAAGTAATGGATAATCAAATAGGGTTTCGATGAGTTGCCAACTACTATTACTTACCCACCGTTTGTTTAATCTTAACTTTCAAACAACTCATGATGATGATATAGCTTTTGTAGTGTTACCATCTGATGCATGATATGAAAGCCATTTCTCAACCGTTGATTATCTTCATGGGTAAGCATTTTGATTAGAATACAAGCATATATACGTTCACTCTTTCGTAAGCTTTCCAAGTTTAGTCTTTAAATAATACAACGATTTAAAAGCTTAAGACTTTGCAAAGCTTTTCTAAAATTGTGTAGCGACCCAAACATCGGTCAAAGACGTTTCTCATTGCGTCATTTGATAAATGATGATACTTTTTAGTATTATATCAATGCATTCTAGAAGCAACAATTAATTGCTTTTTATTTTTATTTTTTGATTCATAATGATAGTACGTAGAAAATATAAGTAAATATAAACTTAACCCATTACGCAAGAAGAGGTGACATGTCGTCTATTTTAATTGTAGCAATGGGACAATGGACATGTCAGTTCTTGTTCTTGTCATTTGAAAATCCCATCAGTTAAAGATTGAAACTTACCATCTATAAAACTTGCAAGAAAAAGCAGTAAAACTATCAGGTTGCTGTTCCTACAATTTGATTGAAATGGGCTTGATTAGATAGAGCAAGTAATAACTCCAACGGTATTGCGCAATGCTCAAGTACATGAATATATTCAATTATAGAAACCTAAATGCATTTATATACAGTTATATACATGCATATATTGACCTAATAAAATGAAATTCAACCTAACAGTTGATCTGTAGAGGTGAAAATAATAAATTTCCACGCTACCAATTCAGTTGACTCATAATTATCACAGTTCAATTTATGTTAGTTTTAACTAGCATTAGGTTTTATTTTTTTAAGTAAACGACTATTTCCTACCCAAGATTTGCTTTAAAAACACTTTCCCACTAAAAAAGTTTCAAAATACCACTTTCCCACCCAAAGTTTATATTCCGTTAATACCCAAAATATACTTCACTTTCTTGGCCGACGTTTAGCTAATTATCAAGAGCCAGGATAAGAGGAGTTTCGTAGAGTGGATGCCGGTCGATTGAATGGTGTTGATCGATTGAATATTCGCCATCTGAATTAGTGGAAAATTGGCTAAGAACATGAAGCCTTAGCTTTGTTGTGGCCAGTAATCGATAAGAAATTAGGTGTC